ACCCCTATGTTTATAGCAGCACTGTTTACAATAGCTAAGCTTTGGAAACAACCCAAATGCCCAAAAATAGATGACTGGATCAAGAAGATGTGGTACATATATACCATGGAATATTACTCAGCATTCAAAAAAGATAAACACATGCAATTTGCAGCAACATGGATGGCGCTGGAAGGGATCATGCTCAGCGAAATAAGCCAAAAAGAAAAAGAAAAATACCGGATGGTCTCACTCATAGCAGGAATCTAGAAAACTTAAATAAGGGACCAGGAAAATGAATAACTATAAGAAAGTGAAAATCAAAATCAACAAAAAACTATGAACCAGAGACACTTTTAGGGGGCGGGGGCGGGAGGGGAGGGATTGGGGTCAGAATGGGGGGGCTGCAATTGTATGGGGAATATAACAATAAAATTTATAAAAAAAAAAAAAAAAAGCCTTTAGCTAAACATATACTCTCATTCAAGAAAGTCAATATTCTCATTTAAAAACAAACTAGGACTAATTGGAATTTACTTTTTAGTTCTCACCTACTAAGTAAATCTTCAAATAAAGCCACCTTTATTTAAACATATGACAAGACTAGCCATGCCCCACATCAAAATAAATATGTCTATAGTAAGTATACTTTATAACTTTTCTATCTGAGCTAAGCCTTAAAGAAATAAAATCTAAGTGTTTAATGTTATAGACAAGATGAAAATCACAGACATCCTCTTTCCAATAGATTAAAACATTATTCGAAATACTTATCCTACTTTACTCTAGGAAATATTTTTAATGAAAACAGTTATTTACAAATAGAACCAGGTGAAAAAATTATTTCAATCCCCCTTCTCACATTTAGTTCTGAGACTTAGAATTTCTCCTCTTTGTATTTTAAAACATGTTTAATAAAAAAATGTTCAGGTAGCTCCTCTCTTACAAAAAAAGGAAAAATGCAGAAGGAATTCTCAGGGAGTCTTTAGAGAATGAAGAACCATGCAGAAGCTAGAGCTCACAGCAAGTGACGAGGACAGGTCTCTTCTGCAAAATGCTAGGGCTGGAAAGTGCCAGTTCAAATCAAGAACACAGTCCCCTCAATCCTATCACAATATCACATTTAGAGTCCAGGTGTCGATTAAGGTAAAACACCACCGTAGATAGGAAGGATAGCCCATTTCTCGCCCAATGTATGTTTATGGCTTATAATTTGCCTTGAAATTTATTCATAAGTTCTTTAAATCTGACTTTTGGTTAACTTTAAAAGTCTCAGATGAGAAAGTCAGCAATGTTGGAACCAGATGACCAAGTTCCTTTCAACAATGTATTCAGAGATTCTATAATTCAATGATTGTAATAGTGTTTTTTCGTTTTTAAAAGCATGATTATGAATCTGAAAACTGAAGGGAACAGGATTTCTATACCACTGATTCACAGATGAGTTTGAGAGAGGAGAGAGAGGGGAAATGCAACAATAAAATCAGACATTTGCAAAGTATTTTCATACTATCGCACTAAATCAAAAAATTCAGCCTGTAAATATACAAACAAAAGCACCACCACTGATTAATGTCATATTTAGTAATACTTTTGTGCAAAGGAAAAGGGAAGAAATACTTTACATGTTAGTGTGATCTTTAAAATAAAACTATTCTTTACAACTTATGAGGTTGTCAGATGTTCTCAATATGAAGATGTCCATCCCATCCCAAGAACGCCAAGTAAAACTACAATTTGCTATTTGTGTAAGAGTCAGAAAACTGGTAATTCAGAAATTATGCCAACATGCATGAAATTTAAGTGAGATTGCATATTTCTTGCAGCTTTCTGCAGTAACCATTCCATTTAAATTTCAACTAAATGTAATGTTTAACAAAAGAACCACTGACAACAAGACTGCTACCAGAAAAACAAGTTTATTTTAGCTACTTTTTAAAGAAAATCGTTTGTTCATTCACTCATTCACATGCTTGAAATGCAGAATAAGCATTTAGAATGAAACCAATGAAAATTCCATCAAGAGGGAAAAAAACTAAGTGAACCCATGAAAGTCACATTGCTTCTTAAGCATCAAAAGATATGCAAAAACAGACCTTAATTTCCCACCTCCCTCTTTTTAAGTTTTGCAAGTACCAAGTTCTTCACAGCTGTTTGTAATAAACGCTTGGTTAATTCAAATCTGGTCCCCTAATTCTCCTCCTTGAAACAAACAGGATATTAGCCTGTTATTATGGAACTAATATTTTGTGTTTTTTTTTAACCTTTTTTAAGAGCACTTTGAAAAAACTTTTATAAACTTTGCATACACATACACACCTTGCTGTCTCTATCAATTTACTTATTCAAAGTTTCACAAACTTTCATACTATCTTAAGAGAGCAGGTAAAATTTCTCTATTTTTACTTGTCTTGTTTCTGCTTGCCAGGTAGAACCTGTCCAACTACCCTTACCTCCACCTCTACTCCTTTCCTTTTCAACCTATCTCAATTAAGGCCCCCTCAACTAAGTATATAAGTCCTGGGTCCTAACATTTGCCTCCATCAGGTTTAGCAGTGAGGAAGACAAGAGAAGAGCTGAAAAGGATGAATCCTTAACCTCTTGTCATCTGACTACTCATGAGCGCTTTACTTGAATCTTTTGTGTGCTCATCACCAAATCCCTCATTCTTCCCTACATCTCCAAGCTAGTCAGCTATGTTTCTGTCTCTTCTGCTGGTTCATCTTCTTCTCTAAAATATAAGGCATTTCCTAAGGTTTTATCATGAGCATCCTCTTGCTTACAGCTTCAGCTATTTATCCTGACTTCTGAATCGTCATTTCTACCTACCTACCAAAAGTCTCCCTCTACACGCCCTATACACTTCCAAGTCATCATATCTAACCCCAAGTCCTCTACCTTTCCTTCCCTGCTCCCCTACACTTCCCAATTTTCTCATGTGTGTGACCTCACCTTCTAGCCACCCAGTCTCAGTCTTTGGGGGAGTGCTGAGGAAGAGTCAATTTACTTTCCAGGGACCAAGAGTCTGCCTCAAAACTCTCCCTTTTGGTCTATATTCACCTCTTATTTGCACTGTAACACTTCCCTTTGGTAGTTTTACCTTGAGTTTTTAGTATACAGTCCTGAAAAAGAAGTATTCCTTAAGCACAATCTTTAATCAGACCTGGCACACAAGACTCTAACCTAATGGCTCTCAAAAAGTAATACAGAAGGGTATCACATGGTGATCATGCTAAAACGTAGATCTTCATTCAGTGGGTCTGCAGTGCTGCCTGACTCTGGATTTCTAACATGTTCCAGATGGTGGCAATCCTACAGAATGTAAGGAATATGTATATAACATGGCAAACCTATTCTTCTAGCCCCATCTTCTACTCCTCCCCGCTCAGCACACACATATATGTCTACATCTCATACACACAGGACATGTGTGCACACATGCATGTGTGCATGCATAGATGTATGAAGTAAAACATTTCCTAAATATCATTTACAGCTTCTGTACCTTTTCCTGTCTCCTAAAGTTCAGTGTCTGCCCATCACAATGCTACTCACTTCTTGGGAACCAACTAATTCTGCCACAGTCTCTCATCTTTTTGTCTACCTACCCCCATTACCCCCTCCCTCACTGAATACTACAAAAACTTTGGGACACCAGTGACATTTAATTTGCACCACTTTGGCTCTGTAATGTCATTATGGGTTTCCTCATTTAATCCTCACTGCTAGACTATCTGCTACTCCTGAAGGACAGGGTCTGTATGTAACCTGTAACCACAGGGCTTCCTGGACAGGTGTAAGTGCTATTAAGTACCTGCTGCAGGTGGATTTGTATTCTCAGAAAAACGAAACATCTTACTCAGAGTAGATGCTTCCAGAGAAAAAAAGCTAAACAAAAACACTCTTCCAGAAATATTAGTTCATTAGCAAAACCAATGAAAATGGGATCAAATATTTGCTACTGAGGGAAAAAAAACTACATATAAACATTCATTCAAATGGTGCCTAGAGGGTTTTAGTACTTAATCCTACTTATAATAGCTCCAGGTATTGAGATCAAAGTCCTGATATTTAATTGAAAATTAAATCAAATCTGTTAAGCTCCAGTAATTAACTACATTATAACTTTACAATGCTTTCTGATCCAGATTCCCGTCCTCCTGGTTTAATTTGCTTAATGATCCTTATCACTCCATTTGTTAATGGGACGTCACCACTTTCTACCCGGGTGCACTAACATTAACCACCTGTAAAATACTCAACGTTAAAATGCCTCAATTTGCGTCCAGACTTTGAAAAACATTAAAAACACATCTCTTTAAATGATATTTTTAAGGAGGTTAAACAACCAAGACAAACCTATATTAAAAGTTCTTACAATAAACCTTCTATAGATCAAACAGCTGTCATTATTCAAGAACTTATTCACGTTTCTTAAACTCCAGTGTGCTCGAGAACTGTCTGGCGTGCGTGTTAAAACTGCAGATTTCAGCTTCTTACCAAAGGTCTGATTCAGTACAACCCGAGCGGGACCTAGAAACTGGACAGTTAACACGCATCCCCACGTGATTCTGATGCTGGGATCCCGCAGATCTCAATTTGAGAACTACTGATCTCCACCCGGTCTGCGACACGACAGGGCTGTGCGTAAGGGAAATGCAGAAATCTTTGCAAAGTCATTTCCCCAAACAGCTGTCACAACAGTCCAGGCACAGGGTGACTCACGAGAGAAAAAAGACGGGGCTCGGAAAGTTCCTCGGGGCACGAAGAAAGCCGAAAGAAAGAAGAGGGAGAGGGATGCTCCCCTCGCATCCCCACACACCTTGCAGGATGCTCCCCGCGCCCGGAGCCCACACCTGGCGCCCGGGAGCGCCCCGAAGGTGGCCCGCGCGCGCCCCACCAGCTGCCCGCCAGCGAGAGGCCGCAGCCGGGAAGGACTCGGGCCCGGGCCCCGCGGCTCGCGGGCGGACACAAGCCGCCCCCCAGGCTCCGCGTCCCCGCGACCAGCCCGCGCCCCTCACCTGCCGCGTGGCCGCAGCTCGGCCTCGTCGTCGGGTTCCGGCTCCCGCGGCTCCGGCTCGCCCGCGGCGGCCGGCAGCGCCTCGGCGTCCTCCACCGTCACCTCGGCGGCGGTCACGACCCCGGCCGCCGGCACCCGCGCGGCCGAGGTGGGGGCGGCCGCAGCCCCCAGGCCGAACGCCGCCGCGGGGAGCTCCGAGGGGCGCCTCGCGGCCGCGGTCCCCGCCGCGAGCCCCAGCAGCAGCTGCAGCAGCAGCGCCCGCGCGAGCGACCCCGGGCGGGTGGCGCGCTCCATCAGCGGCCCGCCCGGCGCGCCGGCATGAGGTGCAGCGGCCCGCGCCCGCCTCTCCCACTGCCCCGAGCCCCGCACTGGTCCAGAAGGCGCTACGGACCCCGCCGCCGCCCAGACGGCCCGGACAGCCAGCCGCGGTTCCCCGGCCACGTCTCAGCCCGGCCTCCGCAGCCGCCACCTGAGTGACAGGCTCGCTCGGACATCGCCCATTGAGCAAACTTTCCGTGCGCTTACTCCCGGATTGGCTGCCGCCCCCGCCACTCCCCGGGCCTGCCTCGTCCCGTTGGAGGAGGCGGGCTTTCCCCGGTTGTCAACATCAGGTCTGCCAATCAAATCGTAGTGTCGCCTCCCGAGGCCCGGCCCTCTTCCGGACGCGATCACCAATGGGAAATCGTCCTCCCTTCAGCGTTCTTCGCTGATTGGTGAGCTCCGTCGTTCCGGGAATACCTTTGCTCGAAGATGATTGGCCATAGTGGTGGTTGGCCCCGCCTCTCAGAGCGAGGCGCTAGCGAAAACTTGAAGAGCATTGGTGAAGGCGGATGCCTCTCAAAGATCGGCGAGGACTTTTTCTTGATTGGTTGGAAGCGGCACTTAATACGTGGCCGATTCTGACTGTAGAGAGGACAGTCCCTAGTGGAAGCGGGAGTGGGAGGTGAGTCCCTGGTGGCGGGGAGGCGACCGGCTTAAAGGAGCTGGGGAAGTTTGAGAGGCCAGAAGGGAAGCGGGAGACATGTGGCCGCGCAAGATGTGGGACTCTGGAAGGGGAAGGGGGAAGGCGGGCTCCAGAGAGCCGGCAGGGCGCGTGGCTGCGCGGAGCCCAGACTGGCTTGTTACAGCGCCCGGCACCTGCAGAGAATCCCCGTGCCCGACACGCCCCCCTCCTGGTGAGGATGGGAGGGAACCCACACCCCCTGCACTTACGTCATTCCTCTAAGGTCACAGAGCTGTTTACAGCACCGTGCCTTTAATCCAAGCCCCCTGCCCATGGTCTACTCCACTACGGGGCGTTCCCATAAAAGGTTAACATTGTTTGGTTCCCCTATATTCCTGCTGTAAATGAAACCATCCGATATTTTTCTTTTTCCTTCTGGCTTATTTCACTGAGCATAATTCCTTCTAGTCTCATCCATGTTGCTGCAAATGGCATGAGTTTATCTTTTTTGATTGCTGAGTAATATTCCACTGTGTATATATAACACATCTTCTTGATCCAGTCATCTATTTTTGGGCATTTGGGTTGTTTCCAGATTTTACCTATTGTAAATAGTGCTGCAGTAAACATAGGGGTAAGTACAGATGCTCTTTTGAATCACTGTTTTTGTGTCCTTTGGGTAAGATCCCTAGGAGTGGAATTGCGGAGTCTGTATGGTAGCTCCATTTGTAGTAGACTGAGGAACCGCCAGACATCAGTGTAAGAATATAATAACAGTACAAAACACAACAAGGCAAAAACGGACAATTATAAATTATAATAACAATTATATAATTATAAATCGAAGACATACTGCAAGGGAGGAGGAGGGAGAGGGATCAGGGGGAGGGAGGGAGGAGCCAGGGGACTGAGGTGATAGTGCACAGGTGCATTGGTGAGGGAAGCTCTGTGGGGACTGTATCTGAGGGGGTGGGGGAGGGAAGCAAATATTGTTTAAAAATGAACAATGATGAAAAAAATTAATAAAAAATAATTAAAAAAAATAAAAGGTTAAAACTGCAAAATACCAAACTGGAAAAGATTCAAACGTTTCTCTAAGGCATTGGAACTTTTCACACAGGAGTTAAGCACACTCTGAAGATTTTTGAGCAGAAGAGTGAGCTGATAAAAGAGTTGTGGTTTGGAAAGATGTATCTGTTGGAAGTGTATTCATCAAAGATGAGAGGGCTAAATGCCCCAACAACAAGCATAACAAACACCCATTTCTCCCTCCTCTGCCACGATATTTCTTTGCTCCTCAGCACAGCAAAACTCTGCAGTGTTCTGAGCAACTTATCTAATTCCTCTTCTTAAACACACTACAGTCAGGCTTTCATGCCCAAAACTGCTATGGCTGGAGCAGCAGATACAGTCTACACTTTATCAGCTGTATTTAATTCAGTAACACAGTCTATCCTGTATAAAACATTATTCACTGGTTTCCCTGCTTCCCAATATGCCATAACGCTTATGAGGGCCTCATTTGATTGCACTTGCCTCTTTAAAGGCTCTATTTCCAAATGCAATTACATTCTGAGGTGCAAAGAAATGTATAGACTTTACCATATGGATTTGACCAATAAGTCAGTCTATTCCAAAGAGGTTCCACTTTACAACCCACCAGTTGCATAGGAGAATTAGTTGTCCCCTATCCTCACCAACATTTGATATTGTCAGTCATACCCTGGTGGGTATGCAGTGGTACTAAGTTGTGGTTTTGGTTTGCATTTCCCTGAGGAGTAACGATCTTGAGCATCTTTTAATGTGCTATGGAATGTGCTATGGATTATTTATATATCTTTATTGTTAACTCTCTGTCAAAGCATTTATAAAGGGAAAATTATGTCAGTACTCACCCAGCAGAGTTTGCCATATAGTGAAATATATAGTGAGTATATTGCATATTGGCTATTGCCATAATAATGCTGTGTAAGAAATCATCCTGAAATGCAATGAAAAGCAGCAAACATTTATATTCTTACACCCTTCACCTGGGGATTGACTTATTTATCCAGAGCACAATTTTCTTACTGGCAGTGGCAGAACCGCAAGAAAGATGAGTGGAAACCTACTTGGCTTCTTAAGCCTGTGGTGGAAACTGGGGTGCTGTTACTCCCACCCACATTCCATTAGCTAAGGAAAGGCAAATGTCCAGCCCCAACATCAGTGAGGCAGAAAGATATGCTCTGCCTCTAGTGAGAGAAACTATAAAATCACTTCACAAAGGACATAAATATAAGATTTTAGAGAACACAAATATAATAAACCACAGATATTGTGAGAGTAATCAATTATGTCTGCCCTGAATCTGACATGAACAATTGCTTCAAAGTAACAAGATACTGTTCCATACAGGTTAGCACAGCTAAGTAGTTGTTGGTAAGGAGGAAAGAGCAGTGGGAGCTCATACATTGCTGATCTACATGCAAATTGGTAAAACTACTTTGAAGAGAGCTTGGCATTTTAACATACTGTTAGACATACACTTATGATATGAGCTAACAATTCCATTCCTAGGTTTTTACCCAAGAGACCTATATGTGAATGTTTATAGCAGCTTTATTCATGATTGCTAAAACTGGAAACACTGAAAGTGCCTATCCACTAGTGAATGGATAATTAAATTGTGGTACATCTGGATGATGTACCATATGACTCAGCAATAAAAAGAAACAAGCTACTGATTCATGAATAACTTGGATGCATTTTTAAAACATTGTGCTAACTGGAAGAGTCTAGATACAAAAAGCTATGCTGTTTGTTGCGACAGGAACTTTGTTGCCGCTTTGCTTCAGGATCAAGATGAGGGATGAGGACAGAGCAGTCCTGGAGGAGGTTTGCAAGGCAAGACTCTGCTACTTGAGCAGAAGTTCTTGTACCATTTATTGAAAACAGTCAGGCTAGTAAATGCTGATCATGCAACAATGGTATGAGGAATAAAATCTGGAGGGTGGGATAGGAATGGGGGACAAAGTTTTATGAGGGACAGCGAAGGGGACATGGTGACCATATGTCAAGAGCCATTTGTGTCAGCAAAGCATTTGATATTATCACAGGCAGAGTTATCCCGACGCCACCATGGAGATAGTCACTTAATCAGGTCAACAGTGGCATAGACATTCCTGGGCCTGCCTTGCAATACAAGCTATACTCTGTAGGTAGTCAAGGAATTCTCTGCTGTGATTTGTAGATAGCAACTCATAGGTCACAGTTGCCCATGAGTGGCCAGCCAGCTCATAGGAGCCCACATTTGTTTATATCTAACATATAGCGTTTATATATGTATATAATATACCTGTCATATATGTGACAGAGACAAAGACATTGACTGCAGAACACGGGAACCTTTAAAAGATGATAGAAATCTTTTTTTCTGGTGGAGTTATTCAAATTTGTCAAATATCAAAGAACTACATACTTTTGGAGTGATTTTTACTATATATAAATCATACCTCAGTAAACCTGATCTTAAAGGAATCAAACAAACAAAAGCAATATAGACCTTCTCTCTACCTCAACATGAGAACTGCAAGAGAATATAAATACTGAGATTTTATTTGTTTTAAAATGGAAATATCAATTATTCTTACCCACCCCCACTTTTCCCAGTCAGGCATTTGCTGATTCCTAAAAAGGAAATAAAAGTCAAACATTCCTTACTGAAAACCTAAATATTTTATTTTACTCATGTGATTTTATTGAGCAGCCAGGGCTAAGAATCTCTGCAATTAGTCTTGATTCCTAATCACTGTTCTTCGTGTGACTTCATACTGTGCTGAGTGTGATTCTAGTGTTCAAAGATAGGTATTTGCCATTCAAAATGACTTCCAAACTCAAACCTATAATTTTATCTGGTGGTCATCAGAGGAAAAATAATCTTTTCCAAAGTTGACTATGTTTAACCTACTAAGAATTTATATATCAGTATATCTTTTTCTATGGTACTTAAAAGGTTCCAAGGGTAATTTTAGAAATCTACCCCCAAATAGATACCAGTTTTATTATCTTCTTGTGGACACATCTTGGGTGTTTTTATGTAAATTCCAATAATGCAAATATTTATCCATTTACGTCTTTTTAAACATGCTTTATTTTGCATTTTTCTTTTCTTAAATTTAAGAATACTTTGGCATTCTAATTTTCACTTATAGGAACCAGGAATTCTTTCTTTTTTAATAAATAATTTTTTTTCTTATATCGCTGTAGTCCCCATAGTTCTCCCACCACCCTATCACCCATGAGCCATCACCATATTCCCTTGTGTTCATCCCTGCCCTGTTTTGTCCTCTCCCGCCCCCTTCTTTGCTGTATGCCTCAGTTCTATGGTCAGCTTGCTCGTTTTGACATCTCTTGACCTATTGTTTGGATTCTCTATATTTCACATGTAAGCGAGACCATCCAATATTTGTCTTTTTCCTTCTGACTGATTTTGGCGAGCATAATCCCTTCCAGTTCCATCCACATTGCTGCAAATGGCATGAGTTTGTGTTTCTTGATTGCTGAGTAATATTCCATTGTATAAAATAGACCACAGTGTTTTGATCCATTCATCTATTTGGGGCATTTGATTGTTTCCATATCTTGGCTATTGTAAATAGTGCTGCAGTAAACA